CCAAAGCACCTTATACCATCCCAATCAAATGGTTGTCCAGTCTACTTTTGAAAACCTCCAGCGATGAAGCATCCACAGCTCCAGAATACAAGCTTTCCCACTGATTAATTGTTCTCACTGTCAGAAAATTTATCCTTATTTCCAGGTTTAATCTCTCTTTAACAAGCTTCCACCCATTAAATCTTGTCCTGCCATCAGGTGCTTTGGAGAATAAGCCTCTCCCCTCTTCTCTCTAACAGCACCTCAAATACTACCCTTCACTAGGCTAGGCATATTGAACTCCTTCAACAGTTCATCGTACGATTCAGCTTCCAGACCCTTTGTTGTCTTTGTTTCTCTTCTATACACATTTTCTGAGGTCTCAGCATCTTTTTCGTATCGTGGCGATCAGTTTTTAAAAGCATTTTTTCAATACATCAAACTAAACTAAACCCTCTAAATATTGTGGGACTAGAACGCCTATGACTTTAATTGCAAATAATGAATTCACACTTATTGCAAGAGCACATTTTAGAGTATAATATCCTCTCTTTAGTCAAGCCAATTTCAGGGAACAAAAAAAGCAAAGATGATCCAGAGGTAAAATTCAGATATGAAAAAAACATAAGTAAAACAGTAATCTGAAGAAGAAGGAAAAGAATGGAAGGGAGAAGGGGAAGACAGAGAAGGAGGAGGAGAGGAGGGCTGCTTTAACTTGCTGAGTGAACAGATAGCCAGAGATCAGTATATTTTTACTGACTGATCATTCAAAGTTTGCATTACTTACATGGCAGGTGCACATTTAGGCAGCCCCATGGCATTTGTTGGGGGTGTAGAAGGAAGCGCGGGTAGAACAGAACTCAGGAAAGCTACAGGATTCTGAATCCGACCCGTAGGAGAGAGAGGTGTAGGAAGCACATTTTGGGGATGGAACTGGTTCATGTTAGACACAGAGAGAAGAAGTGGTGGCAACACATGTTCTCTGGGACTTGGAAGAGGCTGCTCCATTTGGTTTGTCAAACCTTCCAGAGATTTTGATTGGGCTGGTGGAGGAGATGCGAAGAGGTTTTCCTTCTTCGTTGTTTTCTGGGTTCCTAGAGGTACGTTGCTGAACGAAGACACAGAGGAGCTAGAAGGGCTGCTGCCTGCTGAGGTGTTTTGAGATGCCAGGAACTGTTTAGGTCGGGTGTATGTGAATGTCTGTGTAGAAGGAACCTTGTTCTGCTTGTATGTAGCCGATGAAGGTTGCTTCTGGTGCTGATGCTGAATGGGCAAAGTAGCAGATTTTCCTGGGCCAGTATTGAATAATGACTCTGGTGGAACTGGATGAGATGGTTGATGGATTTGCTGTTGCTCAAACAACACCTGACTGTGTAGTTGTTTTAACTGGGTGGCATCCCTGTATCCAAAAAATCAAAATAGATACAATTTATAATATAGGGTGCTTGAACAGGCTGTAGGCTCTACTTTTGAAACCAAATCGAAATTATATATTTTTCCTTGCATTTCAAAGCCTTTTTAGGGTAAGTAAGACCTGGAAGAAGGCACAACAAACAATCCAAAATCTGAATCCCGTGTACTACAAACTGATTATTTCTCCACCTACAAGGACCTTATCAATTCCTTCTAATGAAATACTTTTCATTTTTTTTCTTTCCAGCCAAAAGTCTATTAATCAAAAGACACGGTACACCTATTTCGTCTATTCTTCTGCCCCTTCGTAGAATTTCAATAGTAAGAATGTAAAAATATGAGAAAGGCAATGGAAGAACATAGGGAGGTTGCATCATAATTGAATCTCACAATATTTTTTTGTGAGTGAGATAAGCAGGGACATCTACTGGGGGGGGTGGTATTAAAAGAGTCAAGGTGGCAGCCATGACTGGGTTATCAAAGCATCCCCTTCTTTATGTGTGTTGTAAATGACACATCAATAAAAGGGTGGGACTTTGATCACACAGCCACAACTGATTTTTTTAGAGGCAGTCACAAGAAAACTTCACCAGAAGCACCCTAGCTTTTCCTTTGTAGGTATTCTTTATTCTTTGGGTATTACCAAAGAATCTGGAGACCTAATATTGTTCTACACCAGGGATGTGCAACCTTGAGAACTTTAAGACCTATGGGCTTCAACTCAATTCTCAAATTCCAAGAGTTGAAGTCCACAGGTCTTAAAGTTGCCAACGTTGGACATCCCTGTTCTATAGCAAAATAATATTTCCAGATTGACGATACACTTCACTTGCTGCAAGCTTGATGCTTAAGTATTCATTCACAAGTAACTTCTCTATTACTCTGCGTTCTGATTGACTTCAAATGTACAAAGATAGTGAAGAAGTTAGGAAACAAAGAGTAATAATCTATCTCTCTCCTCCCCCCTCCCCAGGTGCCCAATGATATATTCATTGTATGAAGTAACTAGAGATAAATTGAACTTATAATGGGATGTCCCTCCAGCACTATATATGTACCAACCAGTATTTTCTTACTTACAGTTTAGGTTTAGCCAGGACAGGGGGTGGCTCTTTGGAGGGTGAAGAGGGCTCCTGAAGTTTAAAAGCCTGTCCGTTGATTTTATTTGGAAAACTGTTTGGTCTGGCTTGATTTTTAGGTCCGCTTCCATCTTCTGATGACGTTTCACTTCCCTTCTCATCTTCAGGGAGTTTAAAGTGCACACGAAGGCCAATTTTGGAACTTGACCGGGGCTCATTGTGATTTACCAGAACGCTTTCCAATTTAGGTTTTGTGGGGTTATCTACCAATGAAAGAGAAGGGGTAGGCGCCAAAGGTTGGTGTTCAGAAGCCACTAGACCGAGAGAACTTATGGCATGAAGAGCAGCATTACTTGTCTGGTCCACAGGCCCTACAAGAGAAGTATTGCTTATTTAAGTATTTATCCAAATTGTCCATCTTGCCGAAGGTGATTCTAGGCAGCTTACAGACATTGAATAACATGCAGTATAAAACAATAAAGATCTTAAATTTTAAAAATCAATTAAGATAAAAGTAAGCACAATGGAGAGGGAGGGGGCAAAGTGCACACGTGGAGGGGGTGAGGTGTTATCTACTCCATTAGCCACCGCCAACATGCCACAGCCCCATTAGGGACCTAGGCTAGTTGGCAGACATTGTTTTGGCCCACAAGAGGAGATTGTTAGGAAGGAACCTGGGTCACTCTTGGAGTCTGGGGAAGGCCCTAATGAGGGCTCTGCATTGGAGGCAGAGATGGGGCCAGGGCTGTCTAGCACTTATCAGCTGCCTTTGGAGTTGGACATCAGTAGGGCAGAAGAACAGCTGGAGCCTGTTCCCAGTGTGCGCATTCGCAGAGTTGCCAGGCGCCGGGAACAGCTAAGGAACAAGGGTCGACTTGGGTGTAAGGCCATAGGTGGATGGTGAATGGCCCCTCCCACAGGGAATAAAAGAGGAGTGAAAGGGGAGGGGAGTTTGCAAGAGACAATTAGTTCACTCCTGCATTCTTG